TCCATAAGGTCTGCAGTCCAACATATGGTTAGTTTTACTGTTAGGAGCGAATGGCATGCCATCCACCCCACCCTTTTTGATGCTCCTAATCATTGGATCCATAATATTTGCAAAGAGCGCACATTGATGGAGAACATTAACATTACACAGCCTGTTTGAGAGCCTTCAGAAGGAGGAACATATTTGTGATGCTGCCAAGTGTAATGCACTTTTAAAGGTTTCTGTTTGCATTTCCAGGCAAGTTGACTCTAATTTCAAGAGCTTTCAAAACCGTGAAGAATGTGTATGTTAATGCACCAAGATAATACTATGAAAATATAAGTTCAGATCGTGTGCTATGAAAATAAAAATATTTTTGTAGAAGTCTGATGTTTTGCATGACAAATCAATTTGTTTATTGGTCTAGGCTTGTTTGTAAGTACTTCACAAGGGTACTGCAAACCTGTGAGCTTGCCAGCAGATGCTTCCTGTCAGCGAGGTGTGTCTTCCACAAGTGAGTGATCTCAAAGAAAAGTCACAATCGTCGTCTTGACCCAAACGCCTCAAGTGTCAGGTTTGTAGATGAGATCTTCTCTATCTCTCACCATAGTGAAGCATCTTTATATCGTTGTGGTAACTGAGTGATTGTCACTTGTTAACTGGGTTATAGAGTAGATGTGTTGCTTTAAAACCCTTAATGAGTCGTGCAAACAAGAAAAAGGTGTATTCTTGGGGTTGGGAGGGAGTTGAAATGGCGGTTGAAATCCACTGTTCTGGATTCAGCTCAAGTGATGACTACCGTGGAATCTTGAAAAGGGAAGGGGGGGCGGGGGTCTGACTCACTCCTCACATCCAGAAGACTCAGTCACTCTTTCCACTCGGCTCTTACAGCTGCTGCAGAAACATTGCATGAAACTTCCCAAATCACTGTAGCTCTGCATTCAGACAGGAAGAACACAGCTGTGTTTTCACACAGATACCGGAATTTCTAAATTCAGAAGTCCAGAAACTTACTTTACCCAGTACAGTAGGAATACATGCTAACATTAGAAATATAGAATTGTATCCTATGTACTATTTTATAAAACAGTTGGTTCACTTGAGTGGCATTCTGATATCAGTCCAAAGGGTTTTTGTTTGTGCCTTTTAAGACAGACTGTCGGTCTGTGCATTGGTGGTGGAGATTTATTTAGTGACTCTTTCTGTAAAGTACGGTAATACATGGCGATAAGTGACTGTTTTGATGAGTGAGTCTTTGAATCATTTATTAAGTCGATTTGTTCAAAAACGCTGACAGATTTAGTTATAAGTACCACCAGAGATTTTTGTATCGCCCCTGTCCCAAATGGTAAACTTGCAGTCTTTTGGACATTACTTTGACGTAGTCATGATAACAAATTACTCTTAATTGTAATGTAAAAACATGCATCTCCTGTAAAGCTGCTTGGAAATAATGTGTATTGTGAAAAGTGAAAAGTACAAATAAATGTGAACTGAATTGAAGCGGCATTATGTCGTGAAAGTATGAACTCAGTGGAAGACCACAATGGCTCTACTATTGGGAACGCGTAATGGTCAACATGAATTTGAATACAAATGCTTAAACTCTTAAACATTTAGGGGGTTGAAATAATACAAGCTTTAAAAAATGAAAAGCATATACAATATATTAAATCAGATGTTCTCAACCTTTTTTGACTTCAAGGCACCTACATTATTTGAGATGATATTCAAAGGCCTCCCAATATATTTTTGGTACTTCTGCTGCAATGACAAAGCACCTCACAATTTTTTTTTTTTTTTGTTAAACTAGAAGTAATATATTGAAATAATTAAATGCTAATATATATAAATATATACAGTATATATAAATGCTGATAATATATGTATATGTTTTGTGAATTTAGTATTTTGTCATGTCATTACATTGTTTAGACTTTAGAGCATAAGAAAAATTGTGAAAAATAAAATTTTTGAAAAATTATATTTTATTCATATGTTATGCCATGTCCTCTGTAGAAGACATCGGGACTTTAAAAAGATCTGTTTTAAAAAAAATAAAAAGACATGAATAGACATGAAAAGGCAATGTGTCTCCCAAAATGTGTAATAAACATGCTTTAAGTATATATATATATATACACATATACATATACATACATATATATATATACATACATTATATATACACACATACATACATATATATATATATACAGTTGAGCTCGTAAGTTTACATATACCTTGCAGAATATGGAAAATGTTAATCATTTTAATAAAATAAGAGGGATCATGAAAATTGCATGTTATTTAAGAGCTGGGGGTGTAAAGTTTTTGAATTGGATGATCAGGGTAAATTGTACTTATTGTGTCTTCTGGGAAACATTTAAAGGCGTCATATGATGTTGCTAAAAAGAACATTATTTGGTGTATTTGGTGTAATGCAATGTGTTTATGTGGTTTAAGGTTCAAAAAACACATTATTTTCCACATACTGTACATTATTGTTTCTCCTCTATGCCCCGCCTTTCTGAAATGCTTTGATTTTTTCAAAGCTCATCGGTTTGAAAAGCGAGGTGTGCTCTGATTGGCCAAGCTATCCAGTGCGTTGTGATTGGCCGAATACCTCAAGCGTGTTAATAATAATATAATAATATAAGCGTGTGACGGAAATGTTACGCCCCGTACCATA